GTCGTTTACATTTGTTGTCTTTCTCTCTAATCTCGTAGGCGTTGAAAACGCTCAGAGCTTGATTCCATAGTGTGAATTTGTATATTTATATTATTTTGCTCTTCAAGTCACTGCAAACACTTTACTTGACTCTCCGACTTGTAAGACGATTTTCAGTTTCCGGTAAAGATTCTTCATTACAACGTATTTTTGATGCCCTCGCTTGTGAACTTTTACTAGAAAGATGAGATCTTGATCTTAGGGCATTTTAAAATGATGTTGAACAGGAATTACCACTAACAATTTTATTGAAGAATTATAAGAAGTACTAAGTCAGTCACTAAGCTGTTTGAATAGTTAAACAATTTTAACAATTAACAATATACTAACATTTTAAACTTGTGATATCTTTCGAATGGAATATCCGAATTTGATGATTCAAAAAGTTATATAAAGATATTGAAACAGTCTTAAATAAGAAGTAATTTATTTTTATAAGGATTAATACCACGATACAAATAAAGAGCCTTTTCTAGCGGCGGCATTTCAATCAAAATTTTAAAATAAAAGAACACTTATTGTGGCATAACTATATTAGTTAGACATATGCTGTCGCGACACTTTTTGTAAATAATAATGTGTTCTGCAAAGACGTAGTACATTATTTTATTCTATCATCAATAGTTTTCGCAGCGCACGCGAGGTAAATATTTTAGGTAATTTTTGTAAACTTTGGCTTACATTATTGGAGTTTTAGTAAGGATCCCTAATTTTTTTGAAAATATAATATAGTCTGATATGTCTGCATAGTTACGTAATTTTAAACGCGTGATTGCAACGGATTTGCAATCCCGCGGGTGTTGCAAATCTGTATGGGCGTTCACTCAAAATCAGGTGAACCGCCAGCTCCTTTGCTACCTTCTGGCATAAAAAATAAATAAGAATAATGATAAAACAAGATAAATTCTCTTCAGAGGTCTCGGCACCATCACGTCCTCTTCCTCGTCCTCTTGCAGGACCACGCCCGCAACTTTCTTCGACGTTTCTTTCACTAAAATTAATGTTTAGACACAACAATTTGATTTAATGATTATTTAGATCGTTTAGTAATCCGTACAATAACTTAATAAATTAGTAACTATGGCGGATACCATGACAACCCGCGATGATGTCAATGTCATGGTATCCAACAATAAAATAATAATTGTATCAGATAATATAGGGCAAGGTTTTGGTTCTTTATTATCTAAGCATGTAAGTCATGTGTACAATATATGTTCACCAGGTGCCAGTTTCCATAATAATATAAATAAAATATTAACATTACATTTAAATGAGAATAGTACAATTGTACTTCTTCATGGGGATAGTTCGTCTGTTAGGAAAAAGGAAATTATTAATAATATGGAAATGTTACTTGGCTTACATTATAAGACTAAGTGTAAATTTATAATATGCTCATTTCCATATTCCTCTTTCCTTAGAGAGGAACAACATAAATACATATATAGTCTTAACATGACTATATATAATACAACTCACCGTCATAGTGACGCTTTCTTTTATTTTGACATGAATAATTTTATTAAATCTAGTTTTAAGGTGACAAAAAATACTTGGTATTTGCCATTATATTATAAGAAACAAATTGCTACTTTAGTAGCATACAATATACAGAACCCAGTTGTACATAGTACAATTAAGAATATTTTAACATGTAATAATCCGTCATCAAACAATGTTAGTTTAAACTAAACATTGAGACAACACCTAGGCCACAGAAATTAAATATTGTACATCAAAATATACAAGGCTTGGGTGGCAAAGAACCTGAAATAGAACTGTTCCTTAGGAAATTTAATATTCATGTCATCTGCTTCACAGAGACATGGTTACATAAGAATTGTAATATTGTAAATATAGAGAATTATAAAATGTTAAGTTCGTTCGTAAGAGTAAATGCTATACGCGGTGGCTCTCTTGTGTTAGTTAGAAATGATAGAGTCTGTAAAAATCGACAGGATATAATGGCACTCTCTGTCGAACGTCCTATAGAATTATCCTGCGTTGAGAGTCAACAGTATATTATAGTATGCGTGTATCGACCCCCCTCCGGTGATTTCGACCAGTTTGAGTGTGTCATGGAGATGTCCTTAAAAAACTGTGTTTAACTAGTAAATCAGTCATAGTGTGTGGAGATTTTAATGTGGATTTATTACAAGTAACACAACTTAGTAAGCGTTAAAAATCTTTTTTATGAACCAACTCGTGTTACTAACTTATCCTCCACATGTATCGATAACGTTTTCTGTCACAATGAAGTATATGACAAATCTATTATAAATTATCTGAGCTCTGATCATCTTGGTTTAAAATTTTCAATAAATGAAAACATTACTACAAGTGAAATTAAGATCAGGTGTAGACCAGTCACTGCTAGGAGACTAAATTCTTTTAAAGATAAAGTAGCACAGCATGTATTCCATAAAGATATCGGAGTCAATAACCCTAATGATTGTTATAGATCAATGGTTGATTTTCTCATAACTTCCTATAATCATATTTTTAAACCCCGCACAATTGTTAAAAAATCAAAATTAAAATTTAGTGACTGGGCAACAGTGGGTATATATAAAAGTAGGGATTCACTGTATGAATTATATAATATGAGGCAGTGGAATCACGACCCTAATTTCCATAAACGGGTACAAAATTTTTCAAAAATATTTAAAAAAGTTTGTATACATGCAAAATCTATCTACATAAGAAATAGGATTTTAAATTCTAGTAATAAAATAAAAGCTACATGGGACATCATTACCTGTATATCTGGAAGACCCAAGACATTCAGGGAACCTATAAAGCTAGTGATAGGCAATACACCCATAACTTCAGATAACGAAATTGCAATTAATTGTAAATTAATGTATTAAAAAATAATGTTACCTATTGTCGACAAACGTTTAAATTTAATCACATAGATGACTAATGATATTATAAAAGTTTTGAATTCTATTAATCTTAAAAATACAGGAGATTTGTGGGGCATGTCCATAAAATTAATGAGTACATCAATGCCGTATATTGCACCATATTTGGCAAATATTTTTAACAAATGTATAGATTCTGGAATATTTCCAGATCTTATGAAATTCAGTAAGATAATCCCCGTTTTCAAAAGTGGGGATAAAAATGATCCAGGAAATTACAGACCTATCTCCATATTGCCATCTCTGAGTAAAATTTTTGAAAAACTAATTTTAAATCAACTCTTAGTACATTTTAATATGAACAAAATTTTCCACAATGATCAATATAGATTCACTAAAGCCAGATCGACAACGGATGCGGGTGTCGCACTTGTCAAGCATATTTATAACGCCTAGGAAAGGTCACAAGATGCAATAGGTGTCTTTTGCGACCTTTCAAAGGCTTTCGACTGTGTAGACCACGAAACCCTCCTTCAAAAGTTAGATTATTATGGCATTCGTGACATCGCCCTCAATCTCATTGCCTCTTACCTTAATAATAGAATTCAAAAAGTATCTATAAATGATGTAAATTCCACAGGGTCCCACATGAAAATGGGTGTCCCACAAGGATCAATCTTGGGTCCATTATTATTCTTAGTGTATATAAATGATCTCCCCTTTTATGCCAGTGAGTTATGTGATGTTGTACTGTTTACTGACGACACATCGCTCATTTTTATGGTTGACCGAAACGTGTCGGATTATGACGACGTGAATAGTGCACTTTCGCGTAACCTCCACTGGTTTACCGCTAATAATATGGTGTTAAATGCTAAAAAAACTAAATGCCTTCTTTTTACCCTTCCCAGCGTAAGAAGATCTTAAGAAGTTTTAGCTTAACATTAGATAGCGTAACCCTTAATCCTGTTGAGTCCGCTGTATTCTTAGGAATTACAGTGGATTCAAAGCTCCAATGGAGTCCCCATCTATCATCTCTTGCGAACAGGTTAAGCTCCGCTGTTTTTGCAATTAGGAACGTTAGGCAGCTATCAGACATCGACACTGCCAGACTTGTTTATTTCAGTTATTTCCACAGCATCTTGTCTTACGGCATTTTGTTGTGGGGTAGTGCATCTGATATAAATTCTATATTTATTCTTCAAAAAAGAGCTGTCCGAGCAATCTATAACATCGGAGCCCGGAATACGCTCAGAGACCTTTTTAAAGAGATTAATATACTCACTGTTGCGTCTCAATATATTTATTGTAATATTTTGTATGTTAAAAATAATATTAATAGTTATCTAAAGAATAGTGACAGACATAAACGAAATAAGGAAAAACTAACTACGCCATTGTTTCGTTTACAAAAAGTAAACAGGTCGTTCATGGGGCAAGGTGTGCGCATGTATTATAAAATCCCACAGTCGATATTAAGTCTGCCACTTGATGAATTTAAACGAAAAATTAAAAGTAAACTTATGGCTAAAGCCTATTATTCTATTGCCGAATATCTTGACGACGCCAATGTGTGGGGTTAATACTGTTGATACTCACGTAGGCTAAAACAAGACAAGTACATTTGATTGATTTTTTTTAAAAAGAGCAACTGTTGAGTTTCTTGCCGGTTTCTTCTCAACAGAAACTGCTTTCCGAACCGGTGGTAACTTACGAACGTGTTAATTTCTTGTAAAATTTTGACGTTTCATAAGAACGCGCAAGCGTCTATGTGAATAAAGATATTTTATTATTATGGGGGGATATTCATTTGTTTCCTCGTCTGGTTGGGTTTATAAATAAAAATATAGATACATATTGCATATATAAAATAAATATTATGGATAAAAATAAACATACTTATAAAAATATTTTATATAATACACATATAAATAGGACCCAACCAGACGGAAGCCCTCGGCAGGGGAGACCAAACGGCCGAGGTTTAGGGCGATAGGGAGAGAAACCGGCGGACGATGCGGGCGGTATCGAGGAGCACCGCTTTCTGCATTTGAGCTTGGAGCGATCCGTCCTGGAGTCCCAGTCGCCTCAGATGTTTAGAGAGGCTTTGTACAGTTCGAGGACCCTCTTTAGCCATGTATGGGGCACAGAGTCGAATGCCTTTTTGTAGTCTGTCCAGGCGGCGGAGAAGTTCCGACGGTTACGTTTAACCATTTTACCAATGACCGCGTCGATGAGAAGCGGTTCCTTGGTTCCACGACCGCCGCCCCGACATCCATTCTGAGTACGAGACATAATCCGATTCATATTAATATGCCGGATGATTCTCATACTCAGAATAGATGTCAGTGTCTTATAGATGGTAGGTAGACACGTAATGGGGCGGTACTTACTCGGGTCTGTGGTAACCTGATCTTTAGGAACCAAATGAGTGACCCCAGTAGTAAAGAGGCTCGCGAGCGACCTCTGATCGAGAGCCTCTTGGAACTGTCGGGCGAGCACAGCATGACACACCACGAACCCCTTCAGCCAGTAGTGATGCAGCCCGTCGAGTCCCGGACTTTTCCAGTTCGGGGCTCTACGGACTGCCTCGGATACGTCGTCGGGTGTTATGACGACGGGGTCTTTGGCCCATTCCACAACTCATTGGTCGCTCCAAAGATTTGTAGAGCCTCCTTTGGTCACTCTGGAAGAGGCGATTCTGGCTAAACCGCGCCGTCCTCTCGGAATATCTCCGAATCCGCTTCCCCCAAGCAGCGATCCTCTGCTTCAGGTCATCTATGCGCTCCGTTAGTTTTTGTGTAATGTCCGGCTGGGACAAGTTTATGTTGGTCCCAGCGAACGCCATCCTAACGGTGCGCACAATTCTGGGCCTATTATTGCCCGACCTGAAGCTTATCAGCCTGCCGATGATGGCCCTTACCTTTGCGATACGGTCCTCAATTCTTCTTCTCCATGCTGGGATAGTGCTACCTGGTTTGGTAGCACGTCCAGCCTTGGGAAGTTTAGCGCCAACGATTCGGCATACTGCCAGTGCAGCGCCAAAGAGAATTGAGTCCGTATCGCAAAGATCCCGGCTAGCTTCCAAATAGGTTGCCAGCATCGGGTTAAGAGACCTCACGACAGACCGGCTCCGCTTACTTAGGGGTATGCGGGGGAGACGTGGTCGACTCTCGAGAGGCGTTTAGCGCACCTCCAGAATTGCCTCCTCCAATATGCTTCCCATCTGCTCTATTTCTTGGGCGACTATTCCATCATCGCACGATTCTACAGGAGCCGGGGGGTTAACCGCGGCCTCCGCATCTGCTTGTAACCCTGCAGGGTCCACAGCTTGCGGGGCCGTATCCCCAGCCACTACATTTTCATCCGATGAGGGAACAGCCTCACGTCGTAGTCGTTCGAGCTCGGTATCATCAAATATTTTTGAGCGCATGATGTACCGAACTCGATCTGCCAGGTTTTGCTCGGTGACGGTTATAGATGGCTCCAGCTCAGCAAAAAAGCGATGCATCCTTGCCCGATACGCAAACCCTCCAGTCTCACTCCCTTTCGCCTTAAGATACGCCCGCATTGCGTTCCTATTCATTTCTTCAGTCCAGTGCAAGCGGCGTATTCCACCAGCGGCGGGTGCGAGATCCGAGAGGATCCTGCCGACACCAAGCCAACTGGTGGGGATGATGGATGCGAGGTACTGCTTGGTGGTCGTGCAGTACCCCGCGCTTGGCTGGCGTCCCGCATGCTGCCACGTCCAGCGCCAGCTCCAGACGCGCCCTGGCGGCCCCCAGGCAGCGGCCCTATGCGCTTTCCTTTTTTTTTCCATCATCCATTTTTAGGGCGTCGTTTAAAGGAAGACGCCCCCAGACCGGCACCGTTTTCTGTAGTGTGGCCGAACGCACAGACGGGCCTATGCACCCTCACTTATGCCGAGGCACGGTGCAAACACCTATTGGCAAGGCACTGACTGATTGCGCCGGCGCAACAGTTCTGTCACTTGAACTGTTACGCCGGTGGGCGATGGGGTCGTCACTTCCCTACGCCTATTTATTATTTATTATTATTATTATTATTATCCGTCGCTGTTGTCTAAGTCCATTGACAACAACAGGCGCCCAGTATTGAACACAATTATTGTTAATGAAATAGGTTCGTATCGAAAACACTGTACAATCAATTATAACAATCAATTTAAAAAAATTATATTGTTATACTACTTATGAACTATTCTTTCACTTTCACACAGTTTTGGGTCAAAATAGACACATTTCTTTGTATTTGACATATAAACCGGCAGCCATTGTTCTCATCGCTCACAAAACTTTCGGAGGCGAAATATTACTACTATTATACTTATCTATAAAAAAAAAATTGTAGCATTATTCTTCCCGATCATTTATATGTATAATAGTATATAAATATCTGCTTACGACATATTTTATTAGGGCGTTCTGCTTGAAAGTTGTGGCCTGTTAAATTTATTTCGTTGAATAATTTCATAAAGAATATCTCTTGATGATATACAGAATTTGTTTACACTATGTCGCGTAGGTACCATGGTTCCCTATTGGCGGTTAACATCATTTTATTTTCTTGGTACTATAGTACCTGATGGCTCTCTGGGCGTTACACAAACTAAATGCGCCCGCCCAGTGTTATTTTACCACAGGAAGTGTGAAAATTTTTTACATCTCAGACATTTTTTACTTTGACACGTAAATATGCCAGTGATAACTCAGTGTCTGGGCGCTCGCCTTTAATTAAATATACTTGAGCAACCTGAGTTCGATCCCCAGTGCCAGCACCAATGAAATTGTTAATTTTAAGTGCCGAATTATCACGTCTGAGCACGTGAAGGAAAACATCGTGAGAAAACTTGCATACTTTTGAAATAATAATAAAATAAATATATTTCAAAGATATGTAAAGTATGCCAATCCGCAGTGAGGCCGCGTGGTGGACTATGCCCACATAACCTCTGTACAGAAGAGGCCTTTGCCTAGCAGTAGGACAAGTATAGGCTGATACTTAACTTTTACTTTAGGTAAAAGTACCGACATTTGTATAACCAAAGAGGTAAAGAACACATTTGGGATTTTGTGTAATCTATAAATGAATAAAGTAATTAAAACAAAAATTTGTGAGATAATCGAGAATAGGTCTATATTTAATAAGTAAAAGTAGTTTAATAATACTGAATGCTTGTAAGAACAAAAATAACTAAGTAAAATATTATGCATATAATGAAAATGTAATACTGAAAATTAATACATTTTTGCTATTGTTTGTTCAATAAGCTATCTGAAAACCTTACCATAAATTAGATATATGAAAAAGGTATGTATGGTAACTTAAGTGTGGCAGGACCTGGGAGAATATGCATTAACTATCTGCGTTATCTGCTGAATTACAATAATATTTAATACTTTGAAATTACTAATATATTTTCAGTAATTATTTTTGGGTAGTTATTTAACTAAAAATGATCAACTTGTAAATATAAGGTACAACATACTTTCGAAATTGTTGAGAAACAATTCCTAGGTAATGATAATTTGGAATGTTTTTAAGTAAAACAAAATATAATTCAAAGTCTCAAATCTTTAAAATAAATGGAAAGACAGAAAGCTTACACTAACTATATTTTCTTAGAAATTCAAAGAAAATTATCTAAACATTTAGCCTACACTTCCAAATGTTTGAGTGGGCACCTAAATCTCAAATATTCACTAAATATCTGAGACTGCATAGGTCTGAACATGTTGAAAAGTAACATGATAATTATAGAATGTTATTGGATAGTTTAATAATCTGTCTAACTTTTAAGAGATATGTTTTAAATCAATTTCTTCAACATATAAGCAAGGGCAACAACAACACCCACTGATACTATACCAGCAGCTCCAACATATGCAGGAGGTTGTGAAGTTATTATCATTTTTAAAATAACACCCAGATTAGGAATGGTTTTCACAAATGAGTCACGGAGTTTTACTCTATTAAAGTAACTTTCAATATGTGGTCGTTTTCCTCCAGTCCAAAACCTCCCTTCAAAGCCAAGTTCCCATAAACGTTGGAGGAGTATAGCTAAATTTATATCAGCTATGCTAAAGTTTTCACAGCACAGCCAATGTTCTGAAAAAATATTTTAATGGAGTTAAGAGTAATTTCAATGCTAATATTAAAATAAAAAAATAAAAAACAAACCTTCACTTTGTTCTGCAAGTTGTTCTTCTACTTGAGATAGTACAGCATCAACAACATTCAATACTTTCACATATTCCTCTTCATTTGTTAAAATTTCATGTTTCCTATCTTGAATGTCCGCTTTATATAGCAAAATACTTTTTGCCTTTGGATTCTCCTCTGCCAGTTTTCTCAGATTTTTGGAACTAACTAGATCTCCACCTATAATTTATGCAATAAGATTATTTATTTTGTTGGGTTTTGTCACATTAAAAATTTTTGTTATTTTTTTATATTTTACTTACTTTTAAGTACTTCTCTTACTGGAAAAATAAATGGCAATTTAGGAGTTCCACATAAGTGAGGATGAAAAAAGGAACCAACAGTAATTACCCCAGCTGGTAGAGCTTCTAAAAGATCACGGAACCGGTTCACGTTTTTAATTACTTTGCTATCACGTGATATATTGATGAGAGGCGGTACATCTTAAACAAAAATGTTGAAAGTTTAAGAAACTTTTACATAAATATCTAAATTAATATTTTCAACTGACCTAAATATTACATACCTTGATCTAAATGGTATTCCAAGTAGTCCATAATTCTTGTAGAGTCCGGTATAATCTCATTATGTATTTTAAGAACAGGAATTTCACCTCGAGGATTTAATTCTAAAAACCATGAAGAATATTGCTCTCCTTTCGTTATGTCAACAATTAACGGTTCAAATTCTATGTTTTTTTCATATAAAGCCATTAATACCTAGAATAAAATAATTAATATATAGTTAATGTGATTATTTTTAGTATAAACATTATTAATACGTACCTTTTGAGAGTAAAAACTGTAATAATTACAATAAAGAAATATATTTGTTTTATTTCCGCTGTTCATCTTATTATTTGCTTTAATAAATTGATATTTTTCTAAATATTTTTGTAAGCTGTGCATTGTAACTGCTTTGTAAACTAATCAAAACGAAAAGTTGTGAAATGTGTAAACAATATCAGATTAAAACCTACGCTTTCCCTAAAACTAAGAATCTACTTTAAAACTTATACTAAACATTTAGTTTCAGACTTTCAGTGGCAATTTTCAATTCAAAATAAATACTACCAACATTGTAAAAAGAAAATCAGCTGACTGAAATATAAAAGGAACTATAAGTTTGGTACAATGAAACGTAATTTAAAATAATTTTCTACATGATGTATGTTCATATCGAATTTTAAAATATAATTTTAGTAGGGTCTTCGTATCGTTTCTTAAAAATAGAGAAAGGTTAATTTAAGAATAAAAAGAAAGAAATTTAAAACAGAATTAGAGTGGCTTGTTTTTAGCTTCAGTCGTAAGCAATGTTAATTTCAAGTTTTTTTTTTCATACAAATTTCTAATTAAAAAAAATCAGTTAAAATATGAAAAATTTGGATGTCGAAACATTTAAAGAACAGTAATATCTATAACAGAAATCGAAATTAAAGAAAAATCCACATGTTCTATATCCTTTTGCAATTGCCTCGTTTCCTCTGGCAACATCAAACTAAAAAAAACATTAACCAATCAGATACTTTGTTGACGTTACCTGTTATCGTTAATTTAGCAAGTTATGATTGAAAAATATGTGAGGGAAGGGAGCATTGGTAACAGTGAACACCCACGGTTCACTGTGGGTGCCTTTACCCATTTTTTTACCCATGCTCCCTTACTTTATATTACACGGTGTTTAAATTTTTTAATTTTGATTGTGTTCTACGAATACACGCACAAAAGTGTCATGGTGCCACTCTTATACCCCTCCCACACCCGAACTAGCTAATAGGAGGAGTGAGTTATACCGGATTAAATCGTATACCTGTTACGCCGGTTCCTGTTACTAAACAGTAACAGTGATAAATACCTGTTGCGAAATAACAGCCTGTTATTTCGTACTATGCTAAACAGTAACAGTGATAAATACCTGTTGCGAAATAACAGCCTGTTATTTCATACTATGTTGTGGCAATTTGTGTAACTTTTACAATAAAATAACATATTGTAACAGCGTTACTTGTTTATGTGTGTACTTCCGATGTTCGAACCAAGTAACAGGTGAAATAAATTATCATGCTCCTCTTTCTAGCAAAGGTATATGACCGAAGCAAAAAAAGAAAGAGCATGTGACAGTGACAAAATGTTCAGTAACATCTGTGACAGTGTATAACAGTTCTAACGCAGTAACTGTGGTAGGGCTACGCAACAGCCTTCTTTGTTGCATGAATGGGCAGGCCTGGCGTGAAGTGAGTGTTACACCACTCACCAGTGAGTTAAACGTACTGATTACATTCTCTTTGTGTTACACTTCTGCGTTTTCTCTAGTGAGTGAGTCACTTTATTTAAATATGGCAACGCATCTGCAACCATACCAGTATTTCAATTGTCCGTGGGCGGCGTTTAACAGTTACCGTCACGTAAACTGCCAGATATGCCACCATAGATGGATCATGGAAGTTTTGGTATTTCACCATGATCTATAATAATATGGAATAATTTTCTCTCTGTAAGTTATCTAGATTTTCAGTTATCGATATGTTTGGAAAATTAAAATCAATTATACAGACAATACTGAAAACTACAAGCGACCGCCGAATTCTGCTTGTTGATTATTTCATTAGTGAGTTTTCGCTATCGAATAACATTTTATTACGTACGTAGTCGCAATTTTTCTTTAAATCCCAAAGTTTACACCCCAAAGCAAGTAATAAAGATTTGCAAAACAAATACATCTATATATTTAGAGAAAAACAGCTATTTGTCTAATTTTAATACAACACTTCAAAATAATAGTTTCATGAAACAGGCGGTAATTTGTGCCGATTTTAAGGGGTCGTTATTAGGTGCGTTTACCTTACTTACATCAGCAGGATTTTTTCCTACGTGTCCTATAAGTATCAAGTACACTTAAGCTATAGTTATATTTTAGAAAATTCACATAATATCTTTATTAATTATAGCGTATATGTTATTCTGATGTATTATTTAAAGTTTCATCATTAAAATTCATTCGGTACTTTTTGCGTGAAAGAGTAACAAACATCCATCCATACATACAAACTTTCGCATTTATAATATCAGTAAGGATAAAGAAGTAAGGATATATTTAGGTTAAACCCTAAGATAAGTTGATTTCAAACTATAAATATTTTTGTGGAATACTAAATTATAGATATGGCACAGGGATTACTTATTATAGAGATAGTTATTTTATGTTATTTAAAACTCTATGCTCAAAGATAACAAATGTTTGTTAAAAGGCGGACTTTATAATATGAAGCTTAACTTCCTTTAAAACCAAGTTTCAGTATGGAATTCCAGCGTTCGCCAATTGCAAATTTCAATTGCGAACTTACTATTAACAAATAGCTATGGATGAGTTTGGTAATCTCTTTTAGTGGAAATATAATATGATATTTCCACTAAAAGAGATATATAGCAGTATAAAATGATATAAATGAACGATTGCACTTCATTATCTTTGATGCTCTATCTCGTATCGAGAAGACAAGGTTATGTGGGGTTATCCATTAAAACCTCCATCTGTGTCGTGACCACCTCATGTGTGTCGTCAGTTGCCACCTGGTGTCGGCTGTCTCCTGCGGAATGAATCGGTACCCCTTAGGGAAGAGAGATAAACCTCCCCAATTCCCTCACCAGATGGTATTTTTATGGCACCGCTACGGTATTCTTGTGTGCTTTAAAGTATTGATTCCCTTCGTGTATAAAAAACACGATAAAATATACCGGTGAAGTAAAATAAAAGACAGTTATGTATACAGAGGGCTAATTACTTCTTAATTGATACATCATCTTATAGTAATCGTAAAACGGAGCAAAATAATATGCATAAAATATTGTCCAAAAAATATATTTTATTTTAGTAGACAACACGGGGACGCGCGCCCAGCGCCCAGCCCGCACCGCGCGCGCGTCCTGCAACAACGCTTCGCTATCTACGTCCTTCTCTCTGTTTTAATAATTGGAATAATTTATTTAATAATTACAACGCTTTTTTATGTGTTCACATTTTAACATTAGGTATAAACTAACTTCGTCTTGTATAACTTGGTGTAAGAACAGCCTTCAGGAATTGAATTAGGGCGGTGCAATATGCACCTCACAGCACTGTTTCCATTTCCACTCGCGTCCGCTCTCTGAAATTAAAAGAACGTTTGTTGATATTATTTTAATATGTAAGTATACATGTTTATAATAGCATGACATAAAAGTAATAAGTACTGAAAATCATGTTATGGTATCTCAATAATCAAGTAATTAAATTCAAATCTGGCATATCCGCTTTCATGCACGTACTCAACTATTTAACACGCGCTGTACTAAGCTCATAAGAAACCAAACATAGGGAGGTTTGGTGTGTAAACTGTAAGGAGCGTACGGCGATCAAACTAATTTAACGTTTTTTTTTTAATTTTGTTTTTTGAATATTCCATTCAACAACAGACAACTAAAATATCTAGAGATTTAAAAATGTACCGTACATGTTATCGAATGAAACCCAGTGTATGTTATTTATTCTTTTACTTTGACAAACATAACTACCCGTATTAATAATTACTTTCTTAGATAATTAAGCTAATGAAATAATAATTTAGAAAATGTGAACAACTTGGAGCAGACCATTATTGTTCACTTCTGCAACCTTAAGATTGATTTAATTTGCTTTAATTTCCTTAAATCGCTACCTAATCTGCCATCATAATCCACGCCTGTCACGGGTAAAGGACTCATTCTGTGCACCGTATAGTACAACAGTTAATCCTCAATAAATTATTTGTTATGAAAGTTACGAAGCTATGTAACTAACGGCCGTTCGTTGCATATAGGAACCGGGCATTAGTAGAGCGTATCAGTAGTAGAATTGAAAGATTTTTGACTGCAGCACGAACAAGGGGGCAAGAACCTCTTCCGATATCTGTAATCTGCATAATTCACAGTGACGAACTTTAGATGCAGATTTAAGCATGATGCGTAATACACTATCTGGAGAGCAGATCACCGCAGAAGAGCGAACGTGTAATGCAGTGACGAACTTCAGATGCCGATTTAAGAGTAACGCGATACACTACCTGGAGCGCAGATCGCCGCAGGAGAGCGGACGGTCGAGGTCGGGCAGCAGGTCGGCGGGAGCGCGCAGCGTTCGCGGGCGCGTTGCGTCGTGCGGCAATCCCCCCGCCAGCAACGCCGCGGCGGACGCCAGCCGCCGCGGGGGCGGTTGCAGACCGTGCGCCGCCAACGCCGCCGCCAGTTGGCGCGCGCGCGCCATCGCCGCGTCGCGCTCGTGGCGAGCGCGCCACACCTGCCGACACGCGCTCATACAACGAGCTGTTACGGCACGTCGAGCCCTAATCGGATGATTTTTTTTATTGTCACAAAGTGGCAAACGAGCTAGCGGTTCTCCTGATGTTACGTAATAACCGCCGCCCATGGACAGTTGCAGACGCATTGCTACCTTTTAATAAAGGGGGCCCGGCTGCCTCACTCACCAGACGAAACGCAGAACGCAGGTCTTCTGCGAGGTCGTGGTACTGACCCTGACGGACATGCCCATTCGTGCAACAGCGAACACTGTTGCTTGGTCTTGTTGCCCTACAACAGAAGCCCGGTCGCGGAGCAGGAAGAGTTTCGTACGGTGACCAGTTACTTCTTGTTCCCGCGCCAATATAGAGTCGTAATACTCGCACAGGTGCAATGACCACCGTCTTAAGGACCATAGCGCAAGTAGATATTGGCATGCGTTAGTGAAGTTAAATGATTAACGCTTTGAGACATAAACCCTTTGAGAACTGCGGCATCATAGCAGAGGCATAAAGTATATTTTGTGTTTATACAAATCGTAAATTAACTATGGAAATTTTTGACAATTAGCAATTTTAGGCATGTTAGGCTTTTTTGGCCTAAGGTATTAATGTTTCTGTTTATTCCATATATAAACAAATTATCTATATTTCAGCATGCAGTCAAAAAAATTAGACAGTTCACTGATGTGGATACAGCTCGTCTGGTATATTTTAGCTATTTCCACAGTATAATGTCTTATGGCATTCTACTTTGGGGAAATGCAGCCGACATAAATACTATTTTCATCCTGCAAAAGAGCTATTCGAGCGGTTTATAACCTGGGCCCCGAAGATTCACTAAGAAACCTGTTTAAAGAAATAAAAATATTGACTGTAGCTTCTCAGTACATACTTGCTAATGTTATGTATGTCCACAAAAATAAGAATGACTTTTCAAGATTTAGTTTTTTAATATACATGATGTTAATACAAGGAACAAGCATAAATTAGTTCTACCCTCAACTAGATTGCGTAGAATAAGTAAATCTTTTATGGGACAATGTATACGCTTTTACAACAAAATTCCAGAAAACGTTCAAAATGAATCCGTTGCTAAATTCAAAAAAACTTGTAAAGGAACGTTTGTGTGTTTATGTCTATTATAGTATTAGTGATTATCTGAATGATAACACACTCTGGAAATGAATTGATCGCTCCAGGCTCTTTCAAGTGGAATTTAATAATTGTACACATATTTGTAATTTTTTTGGCAAGTAAAAAAAAAAGATGTCCCGCTGAGTTTCTTACGCCGGTTCTTCTCAGGTCAGTGGCTTTCCTTCCGAACCGGTGGTAGAGTTTTTTGACTATCAATAAGTAAGTGAATGCTTCTATATTGAATAAAGATATTTGACTTAATATACTTCTACAATAGTCTTCAAGGTAGGAATATATTTTACAGACATCATGCGCTAATAGTAAAACCCCTATTAACGCATCTCTTTGAAAAATGTATTGTTAGTTATATTGATTCATTGTGTGGCGAGAATAAAATTTGGATACCTACATGAAATAGATTAACGAAACAACTTATTATTTAAGAAACTCGTTATCAAAAAAAAAGAGATAAACATGTAAATGACGATGCCACCTTACAAAAATATCATTTGATAGATTGAAAAATATGATTCGTGCCAAGAACTGTATAAACTATGGTAATATTTCATGTGAAAATTTATTAAATTAATTAATAAAGTAAAAATTAAAGAATGTAGTAGGAAGCGATACAGACTTGAGCCGCACACACCGCCGAACGACAATGGCCGCGTCCTCCAGCACCGATGCCTCGCGACGCAGCCTCCACGACCGCACCGTGGAACGATAATGATTGTCCTGTCAAAATATACAATTAGTTTAACGAAGCACTCCCTTAGACTTTCATTAAGTTATCTAATGCCCGGATCTTACATACAACGAACGGTCGTTGGTTACATAGCTTTGTAACTTTCATAACAACTTGTAGATACTACTACGGTACGGTTTGGCACAGGTAATGCAACCGCTCGTAAGGAAAACGCCTCGTTTTGTTAAAATAGGAACCGGGCGTACACGCCTTTTATCAATGAAAGTTACGAAGCTATGTAACTAACGACCGTTCGTTAAATATAGGAACCGGTCATAAGTCGAATACGTTCAGGTTTACGCAGTCAAATACAATTATTTAAAAAACGAAACATTTTAATAAAATGAAGACGTCTAAAGACTCGCGAAAAAATTAAATTAAATATAAAATCTATTAAATAGTAATCTATCTAAATCATAAGGTCTATAAATGAAATCGGTAAGATCTACGAGGGGTGATCCAAAAGTAATGATGATAAATATAAATCTAAAACTGTTGTTATAATCAGAATCACCTTGATTCATATATTTTTATTAACTGTACAAGAAGGCTTTTCTAAATGTATCGATTTTAATTAAATTCTAGACATACATATTGTTATTTAAAAATGATAATTATTTAAAATCAATCGTAATTAATTAATTACATTCACTTTAACTTATCTCAAAACGTGCGTGATTTATGAGCAACTCATTTATTTTACGCCGATCATACATAGCTAACACGCATACAAGTTTGTTTCAAAAGTATACACCGCATTTATGAATGACTACCGCATTGTCAACAAGTTCTGTTTTTTCGGGAATAGAATTCCAATTCGTTTGAAAAAAAAGGTATGTTTTCAATAAACGATCATACTACAGAGTCTGACACCCATATTCTTAGTCTTTTCCTCCTCCTCCACTCAACTCAACCTCGAGCACCCGAATCGGTATTTTTAAACGTTTGAACTTCCTCGAGTCGAGGTGTTTCCTCACTCGAGTGAAGTAATCAGTTGTCAAACTCGGGGTACGTCTCGATCTACCTTAGAACTTTCTCAAGATTGTTTTATATCTAATCAAGAATCTTCACGGTTATCGCACATTTTGAAGAATTTATTGATTATGTTTATGATGAACCATACAAGTTTCCAGCGAGGCAGTATTTGAGAGATGCAGATAATCTTTTAGAATTTTATGACGCCGATGGGTTTCAGAAAAGGTTTCGTTTGAACATTGTTCCATTAGCCATTGCCAATTACCAAGCGTTGCCAAAAATTAAAATAGCCCTTAAATCAAGATGAAATATCCGTAAAAGGAAATTTCAATAGCCCCAAAAATTAAAATTCATTAATACCATCTCAGCGTTATAACCTACAATAAAAAATGTCTTTCTCGAATCGATGAGGTAGCACCTGGAGATTTCCTTATTCGAGGAACCTCGAAATATGTCGAGTTAACGACTGTTAATACTGTTTTCAAGGAAGTTTCGAGGAATGTCTTAAGGCAACCTCGAGTGAGGACGAGTCAAGGGAACTCTGAGGAAAGAACTAAGAATATGAGCGTGATGAACCTTCTGTGTGAATTTGGGCACCTCTAGAAAAGCCACCCAGTACAGATATATCAACTTTAAATATTAATTTTATACATCTTTTTTTCCAAGCCCAGGATAGCCTTTTAAAAATTCTTTGTCTTTACTCTCCCAAAACGCCTGAACAGCGACCATCGCTATAATCTTCAAATTTCTTTGCCCAAAGGTGTTCTTTGAAATAAGAGGCACATGTCACTGGTAGAGATAGATCTGGCGAATACTGAGGCTATTCAAGCAGTTAGGTTTTTCCCGAGTAGCCTCCCACAGTTTTGTTATTTGTTTTGCCTAGAAACAGCCTGATACAGTGGCCCCCTTTCCCAAATATTCCACCAAAATAATTCCATCAGCGTCCTAAAAACTGATGCCATAAACTTCCGTGCCAAACTGAACTTCTTAATAGGGTCGCTTACAGGTCATCGATTGCTGTTTGTTCTCTGCATCAAAATGGTAGATCCAGGTCTTGTTCATGGTCACGAAATTTATCCTGATCTGGTCCTTGATCATTTTTTTGTTCATCGCTTACCATACCCGACACCCAACGCTCAGAGCATCTTCAACATATACTTAGTGAATGTTCTTACCACCTTAAACTCTGTGGCTCAGCTTGCAACATCAGAATATAGACGCCCCTAACGTTTCTTCAAAGTCGTTTTGCATGTAATTGGTACACACATTGTTTTAAAACAACTATCAAAGCCAGCTTTAAGTACCATTTTTCTCCATTTTGATGGTTACTCTTCGAAGGATAGTATTCAAATGAATTTGCTGTGTTTTCATTGTGGTAGGACCACGTATCAAGTTCATCTGTAGCACGAATGGGCTGGCCTATCTTGGAAAATGCTGATGTCCATGGATAGAGGAGATAAGAAGGTACCTGAGGTAATCACTTAACATCTGATGAAACGCCTGCTCGCTTGACAACTTTACAAATAAAAATAAAAACCTCTGTAATTGGAGGCGATGTCTCATTGCGGGACTTCAAGCGAAGTATCTCAGTATCTTTTTGTAATCGTGACCTTTATATATATGAGGAAAAATTTGGAATTTTACGCGAACTAGAAATGAACGATTATCATTATTTTTGAATCACCCACCTTATATATATCATTCTAGCTCATATTTTTGATCTACATTCGCTTGTAATGAAAAAGCACACTGGCTGTTTCATTTTGAAAAAAAAAAAATACGTCAGAAATATTGTGGAAAAATGAAATTACTTTCTTTAAATAAAAACGTCATCACAGGCAACATTTATGTTTAATTTATACCTATAGATAATCAAACAAGTTACCCATTGACAAAGAGACGAGAGCACAGCAAGAGCCTACACTGGAGGCAGCCAAATGCTCCCGCATGTAACGGAAGTAAACGTGCTCGAGCAAAAGCAAGAGCGCCGCCAGTAGTATGCCGGCCATTAACAGAAGGAACGCCGAAAGGAATTGCTCCAGGGCTAATGGATCCGAGGATTTATGCTCCTGTTTATTAGGCTTGCAAGTCCCTGTCATCCAATATCTGCAGTGTCAAAAGTAGCACAGTTTAATTCACTCAGTGGTTCAAGCAGTGAGTGACACAAAAACACAGAACGGTAAATGTGTTACACAGTTACATGCACATGAATAAACCCCTATTAATGTCCAATATCCGAAAAGCAAATGTTCGAAACTAAGCAAATGTGTGTAGTTTAGCTAGAAAAGCGGCTTTATTAATGATTCTGTATGTTATATCCACCTTATGATGTTTAATGGATTGCAAAGTCATTATAAGCTTGATTTAACTAAGGAACGCGTAAAATAAAGATAATTATTTTGAATTTGAAAGGACAACCCATGAAATAGTACACAATAAACACACAACTATCAATAAGTTTCCCTTTAATGAATTATTTAATATTTTAGGTGAGTACTCTATTCGCAGGGTAAAACACTAGTGAATGGATCTGATTCACGCACAAACACTTAGAAATAACATAGCGTAATACCGACCTGCGTAACCTTTCAAGGTCTCCATTCGAACGCAAGTCAAGTAATCTTTTGTTGAACATACTAAGATATTTAGAATTACGCGTAAACGCTAATCCGTAACCGGACATAGCGTACCACGAACCTACTGTTAGAAGCCGGCAGTCTTCGTCCTATAAAATGATTGTATAAAATTAACTATCTCGAGACAGTGAAAGAATACCAAGCTTACTAGTAAGATATTATAAGACTCACTTGTGATACTAAATAGTCCAGTACCGTCCCATCATATATGAAAGCGTCAAGGTCACCGGTGAGAACACTCGTGACGCCTGCGCCTACCGTACTACGATTAAATCTAAACAAAAAACATTACGAATAAATAATACAAAATACATTCACAATTTGAAGTTCGTCCAAGTCGATGCGCAGAATAGTTATATAGTTTATTGGTTGGACGTCTAAGTTATTTCCGCAATCAAAATAACTTTCTGGCTTACTGATGACGTTGATACAAATACGAGTAGATAGTTTTTGTCGAGATTTTTACAAGTGAAATTCACTTGGGCGATTTTGTAATTTTTCCGCGAACTATATCAATAGAAATTATTTTCCACCCGTAGATACTTTTAAACTATTTTCAGAGGGATTAAAATAATGCACAATAAATTTAAAAAAAAAATCATATGTACTTACTGAGCCATGTACGCGTGGGGCTCCGGGAAATACTTAGCGAGGGTCGCGTCCGTGTGCGACCAGGGCACGGTGCCGAACTTGAGGGCCGGACGGTGCGACAAGGGCCTCGCTATCCGCGGATCGTCCAAGCCGCTCAGCTCGTGGAACTCCTCCCGAGTTATCATGAACGCCGCCAAGTTGGCAGTGTAGATGGCGAGGAAGACCACGGCGAACATCGCCCACATGTTCGTCATGAAACGCGCCGTGAAGCCGCGCGGCGAATCGACATGTACCGACGCCTGGTGGATTAATATCGTTTCGGTTAAAGTAAAAAAGTAAATTACCCGCCGGGCAAAGGCGAAAGCCTCCTTTGTACAGAGGGTATTAGGGCATAGTCCACCACGCGACCCCACTGCGGGTTGACGTACTTCACATATCTTCGAAATATTTACTTTCACGGCTGAGCATGTGATAAGTCAGCTCTTAGTTTTAACAATTTCATTGCAGCACCGTGGATTGAACTGCAGTTGCTCGAGTATATTGAATTAAAGCTAATAGCTTTAGTCAGGTCAGGAAAAAAACAGAAAAAATACGTATTAACAGGAAAATAGTCTTGCCTGAAATAGTACGGCCCACACAATCCAATAAGTGCGACAAAGCGAGAATCGATTCTGCGGTATTCTCTTCGAATTGTTACCGGTTGAACAGTCGAACCCGCTCGGGGACAGCCATTCGAAGAAGAATATTGAAAACGTCGCAGCTTGTATCGCGACAGCTCCCACTAGCATCCAGGAGGCGGTGTCGAACGGCTCTAAGAATGCAGTAGGAGATATAATGCCTGTCCGTTTAGCCACAACTATTGCCACGCCCGTCTCCATAAATGGAACGCTAAAGTCTACTACGGCCTCACGGTCTGAATTTATTATCAGTGACGTCAGGACCTGTAAGGGAAATATTGCAGTTTGAATTTCGCAACATTTCTGTAATGGCAAATTTATAATAACAAAAATTGGCGAATGTAGCTCACCATATCGGTTTTTTTATTAACCAGATCGGCTATAAGACCATTCCATTTACCGTGATGGAGCGTACCCCACCGGCCGTCCTCTACTCTTACAAGTTCATACGTAAAACCGAGCTGCTCAGCCAGTTGTTGTAGTAAATCGATACAAAATCCACTACAACACTGGTACAAGGAACTGTTTCTGTGTGCAGTCCCCGCCTCTATCCTATAAAGAATATTCAACACGTCAAACACCACTTATTTGCCTTCCACTACGTATTATCTGGACTAGTCTGTATACTGCACTGGTGCAAATGGAAGAATGATGGTAATGATCAGTACGCACCCGGCAACATCCACTTCTGGCGCCACCCGACATATGACCCCTCTGTCTAAAGAACAGCGTCCGCTTACAGGGTCAGGGGGTGCCAGATTTATGTATGGAGGTTCTTCCAAAAATGTTATCCGCATATGGAATTTCTCCGGCACACCTTGTGGTGGGGTGTGCAGTCCACCAGGCCACACTATGTCCTTGATTATTAACCTTTCCCTGGGATATGAGTTCCATGTACCAATCTCTTCCCAAACTAACTGTGAACATCCGATGTGTAATATGTAAAATACCCGTTGAATTCGATTCGATTTTATTAAAAAGAAACAATACCGAAAAATAAATACCGAATTGATTATTGACAGATATCATGAAGAAAAATAAAATTATATAAATAATATTTTTTTCTGTTAAATTAAAATTTTAAAGCTTTAAACTTTTGTTATTTACAGTTTTTAATATTCTAAATATTTTTGTTATATAAAAAACTCGCTATAATCATTTTGTTTAACGAGCCTAATGTTAGTCAGTAGTGTTACTCAGCGCGCGTACCTGTTCGCCCATAGCTGGTCGGAGATTCATGATTTTCAGCTCGGCGGCTTTCAGTTCCCCCTCCGGGGTGAACTCGATGTTGGGCCGCCCTCCTTCGCCTTCCACACTAACGTTTCTCAGGTGGCGGTAGAAACGTTCGCCCGTCGACCATCGCGCCTCCCCCGTGCCCACGCCGCTGCACGACAGCCTAGTGCCGAGCGGATAGCGCGCGTACTCCGCCTCCGAGACGTACGACTCGACACCGTACGCGAAAACTTTCACCGCTGTTGCGATCTCCGTGATAACCGTCGACGTATCAAAATGCACACCTATTCGAAAACAACGGAACATTATCGTATTTATATACATACGAATGTTGACGTTAAGGACCCAATTACGGTAGTGGATAGTGAACATGTCCCTTGCGACAGAGGGTGTGGGTTCTATTGGTATTGGAAAAATATTGTGTGATGTACAAAGTGTTTTTATAGTGTCTGGGTGTTTATACTCGTTGTATACCATGTATTTTTACAGAAGGAAAACACGTTTAAGTATGTTTATCAATTACATAGTACCCATAGCACAAGCTTTACTTCTTAGACTTTGACTAGATGATGTTGTATAAAAGTATATCCTGAAAATGTTTATTGAACTTATTTTTATTCCTATACACCCTTCGCAAGACCTACCTACTCGCAAGAACGACTTTGAATAAATTAAAATGAAGGTAAAAATCAAAAGGTTTTTTTATCACAAGTTAATAACATTAATGTTAAAAAGTATATACCGAGCATTCCAACTGGAAATTTGTTGGGTTGCTGCATGGAACCCAGAACGCTTTGTGTGACTATCCACACGAAATTTTCTCCGGTAAGATGTAGATCTCTGGCCGTTGACAGTATGTCTGCAGCTTCTTCTCTTGTGGCATACAATAGCATAACACGTGCCTCACTTGTCACTAGCTCGTTTAAATCCGATCCTCTCTTTACAACGATCGCGTTCAAAATGGTAAATTTGAAACGGTCCTGTCAAGAAAAAAAAGGGAATGACCCTTGACACGTGAATCGGTGAAATAATTATAAAGCAAAGTATGGTCACGTACTTGAAGGGCAGTGACTCTTTCTCGAACAGCCTGAATAAAATCGTCATGGCCAGCAATGGCAGACGTGACAACACTAAACTGATGCCACTTGTATCGCTCTAATATCGACAACATGGCGGCTGTTTGGTGTTCAATGGACGGGGCCAGCTGAAGTCGTAATGATGCGTGAGCGGCACGTTTTTCAAGGCCGCTATTATCAGCGTTCCACGCGATGACCTACATATGAAGTTAAAAAAATTAAATAATCTCAAATACAAAATTTAAACTAATAAAATTGAAATAAGGGGATAGAGTCAAGCGTTACCGGTATGCCAAGATATCCGGCAAGTTGTAGGAAATATTGTGCTGAGGCAGTAGTACGCCCGTATTGTTCGTGATTCATAAGATATAGAATAGCAGAAACATTGACTGCTAAAAATTCTTTACATAGCGAGTCCAAGATAGCTGAAATCAATGAAACATTATTAAAAATTATTAAGATATCTTATTTGTCGCTCTTGTATTTATCACCTAAACAAAGAAATCGTTGTTAAACTAACATGGAACAGATTATGTAGATCAAAACACATTATCACTTTGAATCGTTAAGCACAGACGTTGTGTTTACGAAAGCGTCATCTTGCGCCGACAAAGCCTTTAAGCACAGCTTATTCAGACAATCCGGCATTGTCACAGTTTCTATGCGTTATCTTCACTCAGTGTTCGTATGCATTCCGGCGCAGTCATGCGAAGACGATAATTAAGTAGCATAGTAGTCGGAAGGGTTGTTGTTCAGACATATCGGTACTTACACATGGGACTAGGCGTAAGGCCCTGCATAGAAAGCGTAATATTTAGGCGCACGTGCGAGAAGAGTTTCTGCAGTTTCCGCGGCAGCTTGGCGAGGGCCGCCTTCTCGGCGCGCGTGTAGTCCCGCGCGCCGAAGGCCTTGTGCGGCACGACCAGCGCAGCGGTTATGACGGAGGGCGTGCGCGGGGCAGAGGGCGCGGGGGAGGTGCGCGCGCGTCGCAACCCATCGCCGCCGAGGCGCACGCCGCCTCCTCGGCCGCCGTCGCGCGCTCCCCCCGCCGCCGCGCCCCCCACTTTTATGCCTCCCCCGCGCTCCGCTGACACTGTCGCCAGCGCGCCCAACGCCGCCAGCGCCATCAGCGCCCTGCGCGCCTGCATCTCTACTCTTGATGCTGCAATGCATTTTTTTTTATGTGAGAAGCAATTTGGCCATCGAGCAAGTGATTCGACAGGTGTGAAGTTTTCCGTTACCCGTGTTAGACTTCGACATCGCTGGGGCTGTACTCGCGCTGCCAAACTTTAAAAGGTCCACTCACCGGACGGAACTTACAAGTATAAATATTTTTAATTCACGTACGTCTTTTGTGGTGGTACTCTCTAGACATGTCATCGCATACATGAAAGCAGATGTTGCTTCGACGATATACCACAGAAAAATTAGTAAGGGGTACCTAGTTGACGTATTGGCATTCGACTGAAAATGACTGTTCATCGTACTCGATAGACTACGATTCACAGTTCGACGATTACGAAGAACGATACGCGATAAGCGTTATTCGTGAAAGACTAGGTCATCTGTGGACTGCGAACTGTTTTAATTTTTCAAATCGAAAAAACTCAGTTCTTTCAGTCAATGTTAGCATAATACCTGAAAGACTGAAATTACCAAGATCACTCAAACCAGGACGAATAATATTGAAGAGTAGAATTAATACATTTATTGAGACTTTACTTTTATTGCTTTCCAGCTTTGTGTTCGCGGCTCCGTCCGCATGTACTACATTTTATATCGTGCTTAAAATGTATTCCTCAAGAAATGGGCTAACTAACAGTGCAAGTATATTTCAAATCAGACCAGAATTCCATGTGGTTAGCGAGTTCAAACAAACAAACCCTTAAGTTTTATAATATTATAGTATGGATATCCTCTTAATCTTGTCCGTCCAATCAATCTACCAGAAACACTTTCCAGTGCGGTTTAGATCGATATCGGCCCGCCGCTTTTCCTGGTACCTGGCTCATTAGGGTTCTGTATCAAAGGGTAAACAGAACCCTATTGCTACTAAGACTCCGCTGTCTGTCTGTCCGTATGTCACCAGGTTGTATCTCATGAACCGTGATAGTTAGACAGTTGAAATTTTCACAGACATCATCTGTTTCTGTTGCCGCTATAATAACAAATACTAAAAAACATAATAAAAAAATATTTAAGTGGGGCTTATATACAACAGACATGATTTTTTGTTATTTTTATGGATACTGGTACAGAACTCTTCGTAGGCGAGTCCAACTCGCACTTGGTCGGTTTGATTAAACTTTATATAAACATTACATTTTACAGACCATAATTTATATAGTTTCGTTTAAATCAACTGTAGCTATTATAAAGTATTTTGTCGCACAAATATTCAATGAGATTTTAAAGTTGATATAACTTTTATATTTACGAACCGCTTTAAATAAAAATAACACTAAATGTTAAGTGAAGCTTTACTACAATGCATTATAGAAAGTTGCAACCAAATCGGGTAAGCCGTTTCTGAGATTAGCGCGCACAAACGCACAGACAAACAAACAAATTCGGACCCACCGGCGGGGGTCCCTCCGGATAACACTACACACACATTAAAACTAAAACACTTAAGTGCAGAGATTAGCACTATAAAACTCTTTAAAATCTTTAAAACTACACACATAGTTAGTGTAACAACAAACACATTAGTTCGCCCTCGCCTCCGAGCATGGCGAGACCAACACAACGCGTACACAAGGTACACCCGCGTTCCAGGGCGGTTCTCACCGCCCCCAGCCACCGATTAGCTAAAAAGTCACAGTCGACGGCCATCGTGGTCTCGGTCTGCACCGCAACCTCGACGGCCGTTAAATGACATGCCGTAGTTAAACGCATGTATGAACACATGCGCGGCCCTAACACACCGGAGCGCGGACCACAGCGGAGGGCCCAAACCCGTGGGTTCTGGCTAGTCCACCGGTTCTGCGTCAGATGAAGCTTATTAAAGCTAAAACTATAAAGTCTCGGGACTAAAAGCACAAACATCAGTTAATACAAGATACAAGACAACAGACAAATCAATTACTTTAACAATCATTGTTAGGGGTTCTATTGCGTACTTATCTTCCATGTACAGACAACGATCAGTTTCATTTTTAATGTAATGTATAGATATCTGATAAATGTCTTTTTGTTAATCAAAATTATTTATTACTAGCGACGCGCCCCGGCTTCGCATGGGTGCAATGTATTATACATGTAAACCTTCCTCTTGAATCACTCTATCTAGTAAAAAAAACCGCATCAAGATCCATTGCGTAGTTTTAAAGATCTAAGGATACATAGGGACAGACAAACAGCGGGACGACTTTGTTTTATACTATCTAGTGATGCACAGCAGAGACGTTTACATTTCAAGTGACATTTTACCATAGACAATTTCTTTTTGTCTATGGTAATTATATAAATACTGACATTAATATTTATACGATAATAACGTCACTCAATTGTTTTGTCTTTCCGGAACACCTTCACTAACACCTATGGTATGGTATGAAAGTTCAAATTGACTTGAGTATTATTACGAATCTGTTGTATGGGAATATAGAAAAGTGTTGTTTTTAGAATTTTTCAGGCAATTTTTCTCTCCGTAAGAACCATCCTCGTACTCCAACGAATATTATAAAAGAAGAATTAGCGAAATCGGTTCAGCTGTTCTCGAGATTTACGCTTAGCAACACGATTCATTTTTATATATAGAGATATATTACTCTCATTGAACAATAACATTATACTGATAAAGGACGATTTGTATCCACAAACTGCAAATTAAGATTCACCAAGATCCGGAACTCTTCACAAAACTTGTGTTTTGCGGGTGTTGAACCCACGACACAGAATTAATAGGAACACTACTACAACAGGCGAGGTATTTCTATAATTATTTCAATGGCAGACAATTTAATCTCAAACTACCACTATTCAAATTAAATAATTATGTTATTTTATATTTATTATAAATGATCAACATACATATTTCTAGTAATTTTTAGTAAAATTTACTAAATTGCATGAACTAATACTGAATACGAATACTCAAAAATCAAAAAATCAAAATCATTTATTCATCGACATATGAAACTTACATTTCATCTATCGATAGTCATATTTTTTTTTAAATCTACCGTTTCGTAATGCGGTTCCTATAGCGGAGAAGAAACAGGCGAAAGAAACTCCGTAGGTATCCTCTTTTTTGTAATTCATTTTTTTTCTTAAAAAAAATTAAAATATTATACAACTGATTTTTTTTCCTTTTAGAAATAGCTTGGGAGCGATCCCAGGGGTTATTGTCATTAATTTATTATAATAACCCTTATTATAAAGTTTTTCTTTAATAAATTTCTTAAACCTGTTAATAAGCAGGTTTTGCGCATTTACTGGTATTTTGTTGTAAAAGTGTATACACCGCCCCATGAACGAGTTACTTACTCTATGGAGTCTAGTAACTGGCGTTACAAGCTTGTATTTGTTCCTAGTGTTCACATTATGTACATCAGTATTCTTATCAAAATTATTAATATTTCTATATACATAACATTTTCATATATATATTGAGAGGCTAAGGTTAATATATTTATTTCTTTAAACTTGTCTCTCAAAGATGCATCTAGATTATAAATAGCTCTTATGGCCCTTTTTTGCAAAATAAAAATTGTTTATATATCGGCCGCGTGCCCCCATAGCAAAATACCATATGACATTATGCTATGGAAGTAACTAAAATACACAATTCTAGCTGTTTTTACATCAGTTAGACATCTTATTTTCAGAAATTCATTTTATTGCAGAACATATTCATATTCATTTTATTGTTTGGATATATGGGGACCCCTTTGAAGCTTTGCATCGAGAGTTATTCCAAGAAAGACAGTCGTATCCACAAGGCCTAACTCCCCAAGCACCCAAATGTTTAACATTAGGCGTTGAAAATTTCATACCATCTAATAGTAAATTGTTAGTATTAAACCAATAGACTATTTCTGACATAGCATTATTTATCTCGTCAAGTGTAACAAGCTGTCGATTGATTTTAAAAATTAATTATGTATCATCGGCAAATAACACTATATCGTGTTTACTCCCTACAAAGTAAGGAAGATCATTAATGTAAATGAGAAAGAGAAATGGGCCGAGAATCGAGCCATGTGGAACGCCCATAGATACCGTCGACCCAGAAGAACTAGCACCATTAATTACAACTTTTTAAATTCTATTAGATAAATATGACTTAATGAGGTCAAGCGCGGTACTTTTAATGCCATAATGGCGCAATTTCCTAATCAGTGTTTCATGATTCACGAAATCGAAAATCTTGGAAAGATCACAAAAGACACCTAGAGCATCCTGTGAACTCTCCCAAGCCTCAAATATATGTTTCATCAGCTCTACACCAGCATCGGTTGTAGAACGACCCCTTGTAAAACCAAACTGGTTGTGATGTAATAATTTATTTAAGTTAAAATGTGTTAACAGCTGATCTAGAAGAAGTTTTTCGAAATTGTAAAGTGTTAGTAGTATAGAAATGGGTCTAAAATTAGTGGGGTCCGAAGTACTACCGGATTTAAATACAGGTATGACTTTACTGTGTTTCATGAGATCAGGAATCTACACTACTGTTAAAAATTATTGACAAATGAGGTGCGTTTTGAATCTATTATTGAGGCAGTCACTTCAACGGACATTCCCCATAGATCTGCCGTTTTTTAAGTTCAATGGTCTTAAACATTTTTATAATATCGTTTGCATATACAGCCTGAAATTTAAAGATTGTGGTGCAAGCACTTACATTTTCCTTAAGTAATGTCTCGACAACAGCAGGAGAAGAATTCAGGGACAATGTAGTTAAAGTAGGAATCTCACTAAAGAATTTCTCAAATACTTCAGCTACCTCCTGATTTGTCGTTATAAATTTATTATCAATATTGAGTTGGTAGTCCGACCTACGTGATTTGGTTTTTCCTGTTTCACTATTAATAATGTTCCAAGTCATTTTTACTTTATTAGAGGCATTTTTAATTTTATTTCTCAAATGTACTGACTTGGCGGCAAAACACACTTTTTAAATATTTTTGAATAATTTTTAACGTAATCTTTAAATGTCTCAGAATGGTTGTACGACCTTTCACTGTAAAGTTCATACAATCTTCATCTACTGCGGTGAATTCCTGCTGTTGCCCATTCATTAAAAGTCTAGCGACTGTTCAAAGAGAATGTTTTAGAAGTAAAAACGGCATTTATTCGATTTGTATGAAATTAAATAATGAACTGGCGCTAGCATTGTCATAGTAGGGCAGCATAGGTAGTTTTTTTATAAAATACTTCTAAACTTCTCCTTGCGATATTTATTTATCGGAACAAACACAGCTTTCCTAGTATCTTGGATTTTACAGTGCAGAGGCAATGTGACAAACTGCCCTGAATAGTCAGAACTTAATTTATGTATTATTAGTCTGTGCAATGGTTTGACATCTGTAAAAATGTTATCTTTACAATACATGTTGCACTTGACCCTGTTATTCTTGTAGGTTCAAAAAACAAGTTGAAAAGATTAAATGATTTTAACAATGAACAGACATACTGACGCCAGTCTCTCATTTTCGTCAATAAAAAATACCAAAAAAAGAATATGACATCATTTTAGTTTGCTTAAGTTTTGCATAAAGTGCTCACATGTTTCGTAATCTTTCTATGGATAAAAAATAATGTTTTTCGTAGTTCTATGAATCCGATTACAATGAAACTCTTGAGTTTTTAGCACACGCTATTTTTTTTTTAAATGTGAAAAGTTGTCAAACGAGCAGGCGGTTCACCTGATGTTATGTGAATACCGCGGCCCCGTCAACGTCAACCAGTAAAACCACTCAACGAACAAAGACAACATAAAAACCCCTACTCAATACTAGATGGCGTTAGAGGAACTACTGTGGAACTATAGTCTCTAAAACCGGGTACATTCGCGAACTTTCCAGAATCACGATCATGTTCGCGCGTGTCGGGTACGTTCCAGGAAGGAACTTTCTGGATTAGTCTGGGACTCGTCTCGGCCCATATAAAAAGCCGCAGTGAGGCGAGCGAGGACCTCCCGTCGGATCTGTAAAGGCCCCTAAGGCCAACAGTGGCTCATCCAGCCAAAAAAAAAAAAGAGCGAGTACAGTTCAGTTTGAGCTACCTTCGAGGCGACTTCGGAGTGAAAACAAGTGATCAAAAGTGATTAAAGTCTTCAAAAGAGTCAGCACGTCTTTCTCTCCAAATCCTTCGAACCCTAACACATAACATTATTACACTTTGCGCTGGTCTTCCTTGAGGTGGTCCGGACCAGCCTGCCCATTCGTGCAACAGCCGAGGCTGCTGCGAGGCCCTACCACAGTTCAGTAGTTAGTTATCTTAAAGCTTAGGCTCTAAATTGTGCCCAGCTCTATTCTACTGCTATCTGACAACATGACACAATCACATTTCAGTAACAGTTTAAGTACTATTGATTATTGGGCCGGTACTTTTCTCGAAGGTTATTCAGAGAGGAAATGTAGCTAACGTTCCTGTCACCATGTTGCTGGGCTTGTTAAATAACACGTAACTTATTAAATATTTTGAATATTATCCAATAAATTCTATGAAAAAATTGGTTTAATGCTCAATAATTAATAAAAACCGGCCAAGTGTGACTTGGACAGGCGCACGAAGGGTTCCGTACCATTTATCTATAAAAACGGCAAAAAAAATTGAGGTCTGTTGTATTTGTTGTTATAGCGGCAATAGAAATACATCATCTGTGAAAATTTCAACTGTCAAAGTATCACAGTTCATAAGATACAGCCTGGTGAGAGACCGAGAGCGGAGTACTAGTAATAGGGTCCCGTTTTACCCTTTGGGTACGGAACCCCAAAAATGCTAACTTATATGTTTGCGGTACGATTTTTCAAGATCTAGTTCAACCGCATTTTTTATATATGAAAACCATTGTTGTCGTGTACAAAATGCGATTTAATTAGCATCCATCATCTTTAAACAGCCAGTACATAACGCATTGGGATTATGTCCTCGCTGTTATGATAATAGGTACACTTTCATCATATATCTCATAGTAAGTTAATTATATGTATAGTATTTATGTTTGTGTAAAGTATATTTCTATTGAATGTACCTTTGCTGTTTTTTCTTTTCTTTTATTTATTTTGCTTTAATTTATTTCGCGTATTTTGTTTTGCACCTGCGTCAAATTTTCTCTACTCCCAGGGTTGACTGGAAGAGAATGCTATAGCATTAAGTTTGCCCTTTGTTTAGTCTTAAGTTGAGGTGTGAATAATAAATTTTTAAATAATAAATAAATTTTTTTATTTGACATATGAATAATGAGTTAATTATTCAAAAAAGCTTCTTTATGATAAGAATATGAATACTAAGATTAAGTGTATCCAAATGTATTGTAGAATTTTAAAATGATTGTGTTATAAGAACCATTTTAAAATAGAATATATTTTGCAAGTTACAGTCTAGTAATAGAAAAATCACTGTTCAAAACAAGGCACTAGCTGAGTTTTATACTTGCATTTATTTTTCTGCCCATTGTGATAAATGTTGATAGTCTGATATAAGCTATCTGACTACTGTCTTGACACTAAAAAATCAATATTGTGTGAATTCATATTCACTAAGGTCGTCGTCATACGTTCGATCATCGTAAAGTCTTTCTTAAGTTACGCCGTAATCAACGAACAGAAGGTAATCCAATCAATAATGCTCATTACTTTAATAACATAGAGATAAACTATTTTCTTGTGGTTATTTTTGAACACAATAAACAAACTTCGCGAAACTTATATTTTAATTTGCTTATGTTTAGGAATTGCAATTCAAAATTAATTAATGATTCTAAATTACTAGTAATGGATAAAATAATTTATATTCACAATGCTGAACACTGGCATCAAGAGTGTTTAAACTGTTTAAATCTGAGGAGTGCTCAGGGACAAATTCTGTAACATTCCTTTTATCCACGTTGTCATAATTAATTAAGTAAGTAAAAGAATAATACAATTAAAGAATTCTATCAAGTAACAACTGACAAATTTATTAAAATATCGTAATAATCACTAATTGTTAATTTAAGTATTAATTTCTCATATTACAATTATATTTGATAAGACTTCATACGTTACAAATTGTTTGTCGTGTCTTGCATTAAAATGATCTCGTTGATTTCCTTCGATTTAATTTAATACATGCGTGGAGCTGTTATCTCCTTTTGTCAGCTTTTGTCATCAATGATACAGCATTGACACATGATACCTACTCGTGAAATACTAGCCTATACAGAGTATTGAGTAAAGCCAACACAATCAAGTAGAAAATGGAAAAAAAATTAGCTGTTTATCCCGTAACTTTAAAGGGAGTCGCGAGTTTATTCATTTGAGCATACCTCCATAAAGTTAAATTTTAGAGTGTTGAAAGTCACATTGATATAGTATTAAGCTCGTGTGGTAAAATTAATAAAAATGATAAATTCATTTTATGCAGCAAGCTGCTCAATGTCAGAACAGAAAAGAAGATCAATAAGCCATGCTTAGAATGAATAAGGACAAAGTAGTAGAGGTGCGGAGTAAAATTACAGCTTAATAAAATAAATTTACAATTCAAATGTTGATTATTGTTAGACAAATTTAACTCTTATCCACATGCTGAAATTTATTTTAATTCTTTTAAAAACCTAGTAAAATGTCATATTTTTGAAATTTGAATTTTACTAAGCTAACATAAAATTACTAAAATAATTTTAATAGCTACTTAGTTTACATATTAAATACTTAAAAATCTGACATAAAGCGTTTCATATTAGATTGGCACGAATATAAGTCAATAGCTCTTCACTACGATGTCTGGAAAACTTCCCCGAAACATGTTATTTGAAAACTTTAAATTCATATAATAAAATTAAAAAATAACAAACCTTTATCGAAAACAATAATTACAATAAATATAAACACTAACGTACTCAAAAAACTGTTTACTTAAAAAGTAAACAAAATATGACCTAAGTTTCTCGATATCATACAATTCAGACTATACTAGATGCACAAGTACCTATAAGCGCGTTAAGCGACGATGGTGGCAGTGACCGCGTCGGCGGCGCAGCGGCGTGCTGCGGGCTATCCACATATATCTTGTAGGCGGCGAGCCGACATGGGGTCGTTCTAGGACGGACAGTGGCGTGGCCGCCTGCAGCGCGAGTTAGTACCACGCGTATTTACGTAAGCGCCACGCCCCGAGCCACGCTCTGGCGGTGAGGGGCGCGGCGCGAAGCGCGGAGCACCTCCAGTCGCCGAGCGTCGACTGACGCACCCTCATCTCATCCCTAGCGCCCTCCGGAATCGCGCCTGCGCCAGACCCTTACAACGTCCACGCCTCCAGTTACGTAACCAGGCTAAACGTCGACAAAGCCCTGCTAAGCTCGGCGCCGACGAGACACGTCAAGTAGCCACTTGTACAGAATTTAGCTCATATTAACCAATTATTAGTCAAATCGGATATTATAGCTCCCTTTGTCTTTTGATATTTAAAGGTGTATTAAATACACATTACAATTACAATACTATACACTCGATTAACTTCATAGTAACTTTGTAACAAATACATAATTTTATATTACTCGATCATAAGCGTTGTTAGGGTGCTGAAAGAAACATGCATCTTTGGCTTCTTCCGGATATACCAGTTGTATTCAACCTTTTATTAATTGGAGCCACGAACACGTATCAGTCGTGGTCTCGGGGAGCGAAAAAAAACCGGCCAATCGCGAGTCGAACTCGCACACAAGGGTTTCAGTACTATTATCTATGTAAACGGCAAAAAAATCATGTTTGTTGTATAGGAGCTCCATTTAAATATTTTTTTTATCGGGTTTTTTATTATTTGTTGTTTTAGCGGCAACTTAAGTAGTACATCATCTTTATCTATCTAACACGGTTCATGAGATACTGACAGACAGCGGAGTCTTAGTAATAGCGTCCCGTTTTACACTTTGGGTAGGGAACCCTAAAAATTAGGTATTAATTTTTTAATTGAATTAAACAACTGTAATAAAGACACCTAAACAAATTAATCGCGTGTATTTTAATACTTTACTACTACGTGAGTATGTGATATGTTCTTAGGAAACATGTATAATATTAATATTAACCTTCCATAACCTAAAAAAAACCTTGAAACCCTTAAATAAAAATATAATTTTATTTTGAACGAGACTACATGAAAGTATGGAAGCCAAGAAAAGGGGAGCCTGCGGTATTACTTACGCTGTACGGAACTAAAAACGCTCAATGCGAAACATCGCTAATCAAAAGATTGATTTGTCGTATTTACAAAAATTCTAAAATTACGTGTTTCCACGATTCAATCCGCGGCGCGGTAATGTTATATAGAACCTATTTACTAAGGGCGCTCTTAATTTTTCATATAGGCGCGAAATTCAAAATGGTATAAAATAAAATAATAACAGATAGGCCAACTACAAAAGCCGGGCGGGCCGCAGGTTGAGTATAGCTGGACTATACTGGTGCCATCTGCCATACTCAATAGGAACAGGGTTCGCACATGAAGTGTGCTGATATTAGAATTGATTCCCTTGATGACAAGTAAAAGTAATGCCAACATTGATCCACATTCAACTTAATTGCACATAATTATTTGATATTACATTTAGGATCCTTTGGTATTTATAAGTATTAATGCAATAATTTAACTGTAGCGTATTTGAAAACAAAAATGTTTTGCTTTTTACAGCAAGAGAAAACTTAACTATATTTGTAACTTAATAATATTTACTTAATGGTTTTAAAATTAAAAAAAATCTATTTTTATTCAGCAAAGGTCTAGTTATTCATATTGATAGTTATGATGGTTTTGTTTATCTGTTTGAATTATAAATTAGTTAGATTTAAACGAGATAGACATCGCTTGTTATTCATCTGCCATTGCTTCTAGCGTGGCTTCGTCTTTAGGCATATTACGTTTATTGATGGTCTGAATAGAATAGCTTACTCAGACCGTCACGTTTCCGATCATGTAAGTAGGTATTGTTTAAACTTATTAAATGATTAATAAATTATTAAACTTATTAATAAAATAATTTCCTTTTAAAAATACAGCAATAACTAAAGCGAAGATAAAAACAAAGCATATTTTTAAAACAACTGACCTCTTTTTTTCTACTTTTTTTTACTGCGAAACGCTTTTTTTATTTTTTACGTGGGTAAAATCCTTTATAGATCCCCGCCGCCGTGGGTAGGCAGCAGGGGTATGTGGGAGTTACAGGGGTACTCACTAAAAACCCTCGTTGCACCTGCGCTGTGACTTTTACCGGGGACACGAGAACATGAAAGCGCAATCTTCCGCGAACCCGGCGCAACTGTTGTCTTCTCAGGCCTCCTCTGCCCGGGTGCTTAGACACCCGGTCCAGCCAAATTGTGCCGTGTCGGTGCAATGAACACGGCACCCATCTCAAGACCCCCGCGAGGCAGCAGTTAGTCTCACATCTGCCGCCCCGGGCTTGCTACAGGGGGGAAGGTCGCGCGCGTAGGACAGCCTCCTGCGCCCTGGTCTCCGGCGGCGGATTTCCAGGGTGGCAGTTGCCGCCTTTTCTCCCTCCGCGGCCTCCTTCCGGGTGATTATGTCCTCGCAAAATGCAAGGACGGCACCCCACGACCTCTCGCTGTCGACCATAGCGTGGACCACGGCGGGTAGCGAGAGATCGGGCCCCACGATAGCCATCAGCTCTTGGCGCTGCTCCCGCCAGGCTGAGCACTCCTCAAGTACGTGTTGGGCCGTCTCGGTTAAGTAATCGGTTAAGCCGTTTCTGAGATTAGCGCGCACAAAAGCACAGATACTCAGACAACAATTTTTACAACCATTGTTTTAGGTTCTATTAAGGGCAGGTAGGTATTTTCAAACGGCCTTATGCCAGATGAAAAATTCGGCCTTCGAGCTAGACACTCTACCGACCAATTATACCGCCTAACGGAACACATTCTGAAAGGCCTTAATCACCCCAAACACCTAAGCACCGGGCTCTCTTCTTCTATATTCCAAAAGCTTTGGACAAGGTCTGGCACAACGGCTTCCTTTACACAGATAAAAAGCGCCACCGACCACCTCGGCGATAGGTTCCACAAGTGGAGAATAGAAGTAAATCCGACAAGAATGTGACAATTCACTTCACACGAAGTACTTAACCGTCACACCTTAATAAAGGCCCTCGCTAATGCAGAAAACTAAGGCAAATATCTCTTTACGGCCAACGGCCCTTGGGAGAAAAAGGCCAAAAATCTAGGAGTCAGTTTCGACTCACGCAAGACGTTCACATCGCATATTAACGGTATTAGAAACAGAGCCGGATTTGTCTCTGGCGTTCTCTAACCTAATCAATGCGCCAAGTAAAATGCCCTTAAGGCACAAATTATTATTATATAAGGCCTGCGTAAGACCTATTATGTCCTACGCGTGCATGTCCTATGCCCACACAAACCCTACCCGCTTGTACAAGTTGCAAATAGTACAAAATAAGTTCATACGCCGCGCGACTGGTGCGGAGTGGTATCATCGCAACGTCGACCTGCACAGTGGCTACAGACTCCCGACGATTCATGAACATTTTAAAGATCTCACCAAATGGTTCTTCGACAGACCTGAACATCATTCCAACCCTCTGGAATATCCCCAACGTCAAAAAACGTCGCCCTCGCAACGTCCTCATCGAAGAATCTCGAAATCTTTCTCTCTGGAAATCGACCTCATCGGTCGAAGGGGTCTCGAGTAAATCGGACTCTTCGTACGGCCCTTAGGGGACATGCCATAAACGCACGCATGAGGAGGCCGTAGCCACTTTTTTTTGAGTGGGACAAATCCTTTATGGATCTTCCGCCGCCTTATGGGTAGGCAGCAGGGGTATGTGCGAGTTAGGGGGTACCCCCTAAAAACCCACGTTGGACCTGCGCTGCCGCGTTTGCCGGGGACACGAGAACACGACCTTCCGCTAACCCCGGCGCGACTGTGGCCTTCTCAGGCCTCCTCTCCCTGGGTGTTTAGACATCCGGTCCAGCCAAATGGTGCCGTGTTGGTGCAGTAAACAATGCACCCCTCTCAAGACCACCGCGGGGCAGCAGTTACTCCCAGATCTGCCACCCCTGGGCTTGCTATAAGGGGAAGGTAGCGCGTAGGCCCGCCTCCTACGCCCTGGTCTCCGGCGGCGGGCAAGCGGCCCGGCGGAAATTGGTGCCACGGGCGGTGACAAGGGTGTCGTCAGCGTAACACGTTACCTTGACACCCCTGAGGTAGCACCCAACCATACCCTACGGTCCACAGGAGTGGCCCTAGCACCGACCCTTGTGGAACTTCACATGTCACCTCTGTTGTCCGGTGACATTCTCAGCACGGGTACACCACAGAACGGTGCGACAAATGGACTTCGACGATGCAGCGCAGGTAGAGAGGCACTCCATTTAACGGAGCGCCTCAAGCAGGGCAAGGTGTTGCAGGCATTAGCGATGACGAGAGACACCGCCAAGACGACCTCACCCTGGAAAACCGCCTCCTGTGCGAGAGACCTCACTCGCAGCACCGCGTGGGTGGTTGACCAACCCCTGCGGAACCCAAACTGCCTATCTGCCAGGTTCGGGCCGACGTGCTCCAAATGATCGAATATGTGGCCCGCGATCACTCTTTCGAAGAGTTTGCCCACATTGTTGAACATACAAAAAAAGTTCGTGTCACTCTCAACTCACTTGTTCGCGCCTGACCGCTTAGCTTTTACTCCCGCACCGCACTCGTCGCCGCAATTTTAGAAACAGGGACGTCCGATTTCGATAATCACAAGTCGCGATCGACTTGACGTATCTTTCCTACTTCAATCAGAGATCATGTACCATCGAAAAGATTGTTTGAAGGCGCAAATTTTAGTCAGCTCCATCCGTGAAGTTTATCTTTTGTTATTAATTGAACCATATTGAGGTTCTAAGCAAAAACAACAGTTTTTTTTGGTGTAAGTAGGTGACTTCGGCGTCGGGACGTGACGACCCCATCGCCCGCTGGTGGGATAATCTTGTGACAGAGATTATTCCACCAGTGCAGTCAGTCAACCCAACTAGTGGTAGTGCCATGCTGCGCACCTTCGGGTAGCAGCCGAATTGGGCCGGCACGCCCGGGGAAGAACCACTCTCTCACTAGAAACCGACGTCAAGTGGCAGCTATGCTGTCGCGTTTCGTTTGGTCTGTGAGAGTCCCGGACGCCCTCTCCCCATTCCTCCCCCATAATGTCTGCGCGAAATTTAAATTTTCTACCCCAGGAGGGTACC